GCGGCCTCCCGGGCACTCCGCCTGCCTTCCCCAGGATGACATCTGTTTTATAGGCAACTGGGATCCTGCTCCAACACTGGAGGCTCGTGGTTGGCACCCAGATTTCAGTGGCTCACTAGCCCTGCCAGGTATGCTAATCTAGCAAGCCCTCATCATTGTGAAGCAGGATTATGTGGAGAACACCACTGCGCACAGAAGCACAGCACCTGGAGCTGCCAAATGCTCAAGCACAGGTTTATGTTGCTGGAGCAGTTTGCCATAAAAATGCAGTTTCCTTTTTAGGCCTCCGAAAGGCTTGTGCAGTGAAGAAGCATTTTCTGTTATCACTTTAAGGTGAAACTAACCTTATTAATGTTAGATTATGTTCACAGCCTATGCCAGTTTTATTAATAATTTCCATGACTTTACCCAGTTTCTCCTTTAGCCATCTCCTGGGAGGACGCAGTGCTGATCACCAGCAGAAAGCATCTCAGCACTTGGAGGAAGGTCCTCAAGCAATCAGGTTAACAGCATGTGGATGAGCAGATATTTGGCAACATGAAAACACAGGGAAGCGAGGGATGTAAGAAGTTTCCCTCTTGCAACAATCAAAGTTATGTGTTTTGGAGGTCCAGCAAGGCAGCACTCTATTAGAGTCTGGGAGGATAACGGTGTCATGGAGCCTGATGAGATCAGCACAAGGTTTTAGGGAGCAGCACAATCAGGGGCAGAAACCTCCCCTGTATACATTTTTGAAAGGCATACACAGGGAAGGTGAGGTGCTCATCCACCAATGGAAAATAGACTATACTTAGGACTGAGAACTCTTAGGTCATAAAGAACAAGCAAATGCATCTTTAAAGAAGTTCAACTAGATGACCCAAGTAAACTGGAGATGGGGAAAACAAACAAGTTGCTCAGGTCTCATAGCTCAGAACTGGAATGTCAGCCTCAATGTCCCCATCTGGTCCCACCACAAGATTCTGTAAACTGCTACTTACTTTCATCTTCCTTGCACTAAAAGATTTTCTTTTCTTCCTCCTGACAAACTGTCAAACCTCAAGCCCTTTGCTGATTTATTCTCAGTTTCATTTGGAGTTATCCCAGTGCCTCATCTTCATTGCTTAAATGTTGTTTCCAAAACAGCCTGCAAGCTGCTTCAGATACCCTCAGCTCCAAGAAATACTGCTACAAACTCTGAGTACAAAGCTTGGAGCTGGAGCATTTGAAGAGTTACTCCAAAATACACCCGTAAGTTTTGGGTTAGTTTCTCCTCCTACCTACAGTTGTTTCTAGAGCACATGTTTCATCTTTCCCACCAGTACTGGGAAAGGTCCTTTCCAAGGCTCATTCTGTACATACTATTTTGGTAACTATTTCCCCACTCACTTCCTGCATGAGAATTTCTGGATTCAGAATCAACATCCACAGTATGGATCTGCAGTAATCTACAGGTCTCAAAGTCATCTTTATTTATAGATCAAACTCCCATGTAGCCGAAATAGGGCCTTAATGAGAACATCATCCTTGGCTACATGCAAGATTCTGTGCCAAGTCTAAAACTTAAGTCAGATGACTGATTTCAGGATGTCCCTGGGCTTAGTACAATCCTCCTGAGCATCCAGTAATTAAAGCTCAGTATTGTCCTTTTCTGCACTGAACTTTGGAGAGACTTTTGGTGATTTATTACTAAGCCATCAGTGTGGTCTTCACCAAGACATTTGAAGCCTGCTCATTCCAGGATGGACATTTAGCAGCAACATCTTGTTAGAAAAGGGCCTTCCAAGACAAGGCATCAGCTGAAGCCATAATTTGTTCACAGCAGGGAGGAGAAGTGATGTTCTTTTTTTGAAGCAAGTGCAAAGGAAGCCTGCAGAACCTCTGACAGGAAGACCTGTGATAAGGTGACAGAACTGCACCAACAGAAACATTCTGAAAGGCCTTTAGCTCCTCAAATTGTTCAACCTGATGATATCCAGAAGTTTAGCAAGGACTTGACCACTCCTAAAAGTCAAGTTTTGAGCTACAAAAGGCTTTCAGATTTCAAATACAGCTCTATGGAATTTGGTAATTTTGAATCAATGGCTTCCATATAAAGATCAGTCCCCTTCTGAACCTGCTGTGTGGCTGTACTATGATCCCACCAAGGGTGTGACAGCCCACAGCATTACGCTCTGAACGGGACCCATGCACGCACTGAGAGACGCTTCAAGTTGGCTGGTGGACGGTAAGTGCAGAGGCATCTGTACACCCTGGTCTCAGGGTAGCCAGGCTGTCCATGACTCCTGCCGAAGCTGGACTCCAGCCCAGCTCCAGTTCTTTCTGCAGTCAGAGCAGCCCAAGGCCTAATCCCTTCATTTGTAGGCTGACTGCTGCAGAAGATGGTTTTCCAGTATTTCCTGTCTCAGCACACAATTCTGTAGAAAGTACTCGAAGTGTACTTGAACTGTGCACACACTATGACTAGCTGCCAAAGTGCCAGAGTAGGGGGAGACCCCACACACCAGCCTTGGTCCAGGAATCCCCTACAACTGCTAACAGTGATGGCACATTGCTTCAGCTGGGGCTGCCTCCTGCAGATGCAGCTATGGGAACGGCTCTGCCCTTGCCTACAAGAACACCATTTCCTACAACATTTAGATTTTAACTGCTCAACCATGAACGTGTCTTTTATCACCAACAGCTAAACACTTTAGTTATGGCTAGAGAAGTTTCATACCTTCAGTACTTCCAGAAGTTTAAGGAATTAGCTTTTGCACATGCCTCAGAAAGAGTTATTTAAAAAACCCTTACCTCGTAAATGTTGGGATGCCACATTTTGGTCAGGAATCTGAAGGTAGGTGGTGAATATGGATAGTCAATAGGGAATTTAATGTGAGCCTGGAAAAAAGCAAAATATTTTAGTTATGAAACAGAACAGATCAAAAAGCAACCGTTGTTTGTTTGTTTTTCAGTTTTTCACTGCAATTTCAGTTAAGGCCATTAAATTACAGAATCACGTAATGGTGGCAGTCGGAAGGGACCTCTGGAGAGCAACTAATCCAATGCTCCTGCTCCAGCACAGTCAGCCAGAGCAGGCTGCTTGGGATAACTTCAAGCAATGTTTTGAGCATCTCCAGAGAAGGAAACTCCAAAACCTCTCTGGACAGCCTGCTCCAGGCTCTGGCATCCTTACAGCAAACAAGTTTATCCTTATATTATAGAATCACAGAATCATTTGGGTTGGAGAAGACCTCCAAGATCATCAAGTCCGACCATCACCCAAAACTACCATGAGCACTAATCCATGTCCTGAAGTACCATGTCTATATGTGTTTTGAACCCCTCCAGGGATGGTGACTCCACTGCCTCCCTGGGCAGCCCATTCCAGTGCCTCACCACTCTGCCAGTAAAGAAATTCTTCCTAATATCCAATCTAAACCTGCCCTGGCACAACTTGAGCCCATTTCCTCTTGTCCTATTGCTAGGAACCTGGGAGAAGAGACCAACACCCACCTGACTCCAACCTCCTTTTACGTAGTTGTAGAGAGCAATAAGGTCTCCCCTCAGCCTCCTCTTCTCCAGACTAAACAACCTCAGTTCCCTCAGCCACTCCTCATATGACATGTTCCCCAGAACACGTCTAGGTGGAACCTCCTATGATCCAGCCTGTGTCCCTTGTCTGTCCTCCTGTCCCTGGGCACCACTGAGGAGAGTCTGGCTCTGTCCTTCAGGCACGTGCCCTTCAGATACCAGTGGGCACTGGTGAGATCCCCTCTCAGCCTTCTCTTCTCCAGGCTAAACAGACCCAGGTCTCTCAGCCTCTCCCTGCAGGAGAGATGCTCCAGTCCCCTCAGCATCTTCATAACCCTCTGCTGGACTCTCACCAGTAGTTTTGTCTCTCTTGAACTGAGGAGCCCAAAACTGGGCACAGGACTCCAGATGTGGCCTTGCTAGGGCTGAGTAGAGGGAGAGGAGAACTTCCCTCAACCTGCTGGCCACACTCTTCTTACTGCACCTAAATTTCTCATTTTATAGACCATGTGGCCCCACAGTGTAACTCTACACAATTTATGAGCAAAACAAACTGACGTTTAGATTTTTTTTTTGTTCAGGACTGATCTGGGCTGTCAATCCTCAGAAAAGAAGCCAAGAGGCATCTACCACATTCTAAATGAAGAGGCACTATGCAACAACTGCTGTTAAACAGAGTAAGTTATTTTAAAAGCTCAAGATACTCAAAACACTACTGTTGTCCTCCTCAGTTCAGAAGCAGGCCAAAAAAAACATTTCCTAAGGTGAATTACATTGAACTCTTTTACATTCACCAGTGCAAATATTTTACTTCTTGTGCAGAAAAAAAAAAAATTGGTAGATACTTCCCTACTGAGATCCAAAGTTTTCTTCCTTTCTTCTGCAAGAGTGAAGCTGGTCCATACACCTGTGCTCTTAATGCTACGTTTCTTGCCACCACAAGCACTGCCGAGACTCAACACCATCCCTGTCTGTTTAACAAGTCAGCACAGCTTGATGAACAAAACAAATTCTGATGGGCAGTGACAGCAAACACTTTCCAGTGGTCAGCAGCCAGCTGTGGGGCACAACTCCAAGCTGAGCCAGCTGTAGGAAGACCACAGTGATCCCAGCACTGGATATTAACTTCTCTGTGCTGTCCTTTCTCTGCTCAAAGCAGCCAGTAGGCAAGAGGGCTGAATCTGGACTGATGAAGGGCCAGAAACACTCCTCACTGAAAGGAGGGCTCACATACTGCTTGCTGCTCTGTAAAGCCCAAACCCTTCCCTTAGCACTGTTCTAACCAAGAAAGTCTCACCACCAGTCGAGCACGAGACCCCCAGAGCAGCCTCTCCTGGCCCCTGCACCACAGGTTCATGTGTAGCTGAGAGTGCCAGAAGAGATCCCAAAAGCAAGACGCACGTGGTGAGAGCAGAATCCCAGGCCACCCCCTTCAGTATCTCACCATGCCACTCAGACATGGGGCACTGACCTTGTTCAACAGGACAGACTTTGGCAAGCTTTACTCCCCAAAACAGAAGCAGGCCACCAAACAAATGGGATTACTGAGCCATTAAGTACCTGGCTGCAGTTTTACTTACAGATCAGCATACACCTTTGCCTTGCAATACAAATTTTGTGGGGCTAGAGTGCCAGGTAGCTAAGAAAAGAAGGTTTTTGGTTCACCTGTATGAAACAAATTCAGCAGCTCACATGGCTACACATTCTAGACAAGCCTGCTTGTAATACTGACCATGTGGGGATGTTACAGCAGCACTGAGTCCCTACCCTGCAGTTGCTAGCCACAGCACACTCACCACCACACATTTATGGTTCACTGAAACAGTCTTAGCCCAGGTTTAAGGTCAGTTACACAAATGGCATTGCTCTGAGAAGGGCAACCAAATGTCTCCTTTCAGCACATCACTTCAGAAGACAGTGGCTGCTGCAGCAAGGGCATGCCTGGCTCTACAACAAGGCACCCTTGCATGGGGAGCAGAGCAGAGGTCTACCCAGGGCAGATTCTGGGTAGACACTTTAGCCCAAGTGCTTTAGATTCTTCCAGACTCGTGGGGTTTTCCCAATAAAGCCCATTCCTGTCCTTACGTGCAGCTTCATGAGATCCAAGATATAAAATAGCCTAAGGACTGAGATTAAATATGCAAGAGACAACAAAACCCAGAGCTGAACTAGCTACAAGATCTCTTGGCAGGAATTTGTTGTGTCTTCTACACAGGTATAGGTGTCACTAGGTGACCAAAGAAAAGCACGCTGGCAGTAGCATACCAGCCTTACCATGCTTCCATGTCACACATGTGGCCAAGCAGCTGAGGGCACAGGCCTCATGTCTCTCTGTAAAAACCCTCTGCTCTCAAATTCCTGAACCCTGAGGGTTTCATCTCAAGACCACCACTGCCAAGGCTGAGCTTGGAGCACCAGTTATGGTCTCTGTATGTGAAGCTGTAGATTCTGGAAGACTGTTTCAAACTTCCAAATATCATTTTGCAGCCACAACTCTTTAACAGAAAAGGGATATCTGCCTGCAATAACTATCATTACAGAATTAAATAAAGCTGATGTTTTGCCACATGAAGGATGCCTCTGGACCTCTAGCACCAGAAAATGCAACTGGAGAGAAATGAGAGAAATTTTTTCTTCTCACATGGAGGCAGCTGGGACTCAAGCTTGTCTAACCAGCAATATATTTAGAGAAAAGAGTTACATTACTTGTTGATAAGCCAATCCTAACTAGCCTGTGTTTAGCACATTGAGATGCTGTACTGGAGCACAAAACAAGGGAAGCTTCTCTACAAACTGGTTTCAGAGCCAAAAGCCACCAAAAGAGGAAACCCCATATTACAGGCAGGGATTTTTTCTAAAACTGCACCACTTTCAGGTCCCTATGTTGAGATCATCCAGAATTGAAAAGTGAAACCAAACACTTTTCCAGGGCATTACAAACAGGTCCCAAAGAATTACTCTGCATCTCTTCTGTAAGAGAAGTCACAGGAAATTATGTAATTTTCTCACTGAATGCTATTTGAGTTTCTGAATGGGTTAAGCAAGCTAAGAATTTCCAAGACAAACTTCAAGACTGCTTTGCTAAGATGTAATCATGGCTATCCCACTGAAAGGTCAACTTTTTCACTAAAAGCCCAATTCTAAACATGTTGAGACAAAAAGACTGAATTAAGTAATACAATTCTTTTTTAAATAGAGCTCACAGCAAGGTTTCCTCTTCGCAGTCTCACTGATGTAAGGGAAACTAGCTATCTAAACTTATTTCTGGTACATTCAGGCAGGCTACTAGGTACCCAGGGCAGCTTTTTGTTGGCTCAGTCACAGCCAAACTGATAGAGGACTAAAGATGCAGCTCAGTCCCCCACCTACAAGCACCCAGCTGTTACTGCATTCCCCATGTGAAAGAGCTGAGCTTAAACTGAACAAAAATAATCCTATTCCAGTGTCCTGATTTTAGCCACTGGCTCACTGCCTTGGCTCTGACACCACTGAACCTAGCCAATGGCCAGGAAGGTGGAGACCAGAGTCATCAACCCATTCCCCCCCTCCCCAACACATAACTAGTCATAGTTATAGTTCCTAGAAAAATAAACTCCTCTGATGTTGCACTTAACAGACCACCCTGGCAGAAGATTCAGCCCTTTACAGGCACTTACAGCTACTGCACAAGACCCTCAAGCTCTAAGTTTAGCACGACAGGTATTGTAAGACTACTGCTATGAGAATGGTCACTTTGTGTCTTGCCTTGCTCCCACACACCCTCATCAGCAACTGCACTTCAATTTTTTCATTTTTCTTGGACAAAGCCATAGTGAAATCTAGTTATGTCAGAAAAATAAAGTCTTACTAGCTACTATGCTATTTCACTCAAATCAGGACACAGCCAAAACACAAACCTCGTGCTCTTACCAAGCAGTGAATGAAGTCCTGACTCAGTGACTGTGAGGGATTACTACAGCCACACTGTTTCTGTAGATCTTGGCTTGCACTTGACTTGACACACATTAATATCTCCATCTCAGTGGGGAGCATTAGCACAGGCAGGACGCCCTTCTAGCTTCAGCTGCCTAAAGATTTATAGATATTCCAGTCTAGCTGTACATGATACTTCTGTAGGTATGACATTGATTCCTTTTTCTCCTACTCCTCTCAAGCTGACAAAACCTGGTTTTCAGGCAGCAAGGGTAGGAATGGTGAATCCATTCCTTCTGCCCACTGCAGGGAGGCAACAGGGGGAAGATCACAATTCCTGGAATGCCACTGGCATTATAACTGACCTCATTCAGGGAAATCAGGAGCACCAGCAGCTTTTACAATGGCCAACAAAAACTGTAGCTGCTCAGAGTTTCTGGAAGTGCCAGTTAAAGATAATT